GCGAGGCTGAAGCCATCTTCCTGTAAGCTGAACGCTGAATAAATGAAACTGAGAACTCCAGCTGCTTCTCGTGTCTGTTTTCCCGCCACGGACTCAACATATACTGCTTCCACATACTGCTTTATAGCCCTCTCTAAGCCGTTTACAGAGTCAGCATATTTGCCCCCAACAATCTGGGTCCTCATTTTACCCACCCTGGAAGGATGGAAGGCTGAGTCAACCTTGAGCCAATGAGACTTGAACTGCTAGCAGTCAGCAGAATTAGATTAGTCTAATCACTGCGCCACCATGGCTCAAATAACAGATAGCTCAACTGCACTTGTGTGTGGCAAGACTTCCAGAAGAGACTCCCTCCCTAATATTTTGGGCTATAAAGGAGACTGGAGGACAATTGTACTTTCAGATTTGCAAGATTCTGTTAGTATATGTGTCAGTTGTAAACATAAGTCAAGGATTAACTGTATGGTTCATTTTAGAGCAGTGTTTCTCACCCTTGACAATTTTAAGGCATGTGGACTTCAACTCCCAGAATTCCACAGCCAGCATTGCTGGCTGTGGAATTCTGGGAGTTGAAGTCCACATGCCTTAAAATTGTCAAGGGTGAGAAACACTGTTTTCGAGGACAAGATTAATCTATTTTATAGTGGTATCTGTACTGAAGTTATAGGAGGGAAGTTATTCTTTTTCTAGATTTTTCTTTTGTTAAACAATCTCTTGAAATTTAATAAAGTCTTAGAAAATAAAAGGCATTCATCCAGATTTTATGAAGGCCAGGCTAAAGTAGCCTAATCTTTAATGTCTTTAATTCTGTCTCCTAACCCTAACCACTTAAACATTTATAGATGTGGGAAGTAAAATATGATCCAATCACAATGGCTGTGGAAAGAAATGACATTAGACAACACTAGCCATGGTGATATATGATTCAGCATTTCTGGCTGTTTTTTTTTTTTTAATGAACAAGCCAGAATCAAAAACCAAGGCCAAAGCTCCTTTTATAAACAGATAAAATCAATAAATTACCTTCCACATACTTGTGGCACTCCAGATCCACAGAACAGAAGCTACTATTTCATTTCAGAATGGAAGCTGAGTCATTTCCAAAGATTCTGGCAGATTTTTCTAAGATGGAAGCCAAAACCCTTCAGTATATATTGCTGCCTGTTCAAAGCCGTCAAATCTGAATTCTCCCAAACATGTCCCTGATTGGAGGTCTTCTAGTCCAGCCCCCTGCTCGAGCAGGAGAACCTATACCATTTCAGACAAGTGACTGTCTAATCTCTTCTTAAAAACCTCCAGTGATGGAGCGCCCATGATTCATTGGAGCAAGCTTTGAGTACATACTCACCACAAAGTTAGCAGCCTAAGCACTTGCCCAGATCATCAGCTACATGATTGTAGGTCTGAATCTGAGACAACCAACATCAGGGGTCTTCAAACTTGGCCCTTTTATGACTTGTGGACTTCAACTTCCAGAATTCCTCAGCCAGGCACACTGGCTGAGGAATTCTGGGAGTTGAAGTCCACAAGTCATGAAAGGACCAAGTTTGAAGACCCCTGACCAACATAGTACCAAGGAACCAATTTGTGCATGTACATATATATGAGAGAAAAAAGCAGAGTATATTGTACCACTTCACAAGATGCATTTTAGTTGATTAGGATAATACAGAAAAAACATACAGGCAGTCCTCAAGCTATGTCCATAATTAAGACTATTTCTGTTGCTAAGCGAGAAAGTTACATGGGTTTTGACCCATTTTAGGATCTTTCTGACCATAGTTGTTAAGTAAATCACTGCAGTTGTAAAGCTAGTAACAGGGTTAAGTGAACCTGACTTCCCCATTGACTTTGCTTGGTCAGAAGGTCGCAAAAGGAGATCACGTGACCCTGGGACACTGCAACCGCCATAAATATGAGTCAGTTGACCAGTGTCTGAATTTTGATCATGTGATCATGGGGAAGCTGCAATGGTCATAAGTGTGAAAAACGGTCATAAGTCACGTTTTTCAGCACCGTTGTAACTTTGACCACTAAACAAACTGTTGTAAGTTGACGACTACATAATTACACATTACTCGTAATTATTTTATTGCATTAATTTGGAGGCCGCCAATGATTTAACATGGAGACCTGGAAAAGTTGCAGCAGTGATCAATGCAAAGATCAAGAGACAGGAGAAAACTACTACTAAGGCAAGATTACAATATCTGGAGTTTCTTAATAGGAAAAAAGGAAGGGAGATGTAAGATGTGTAAAATGGTTTGGAGAAAAAAATAAACAGGTAGTCCTTGACTTACAACCAGGCACCTCAAAGTTACAACGGAGCCTTAAAAAAGCTAATTTGACCCAGATTTAACATTCCAACAGCAAACTCTCCTCCCCCACCCCGGATAATCACAAAACCGCATTTGGGGCAGTTGGCAACTAGCCCATACTTATGACTGGTTTGCAGCACCTTATGGTCATTGACTACAATTTATGGTGTTTTTGCTAGAAAGTGTTGTTTCCTTCTGGTTTCCGGCAAATAATGGATTCGTTTAACAGTGAAGTTTTTTAACAACTGTTGCAAAAAAGGTCAAAGTCAGGCACGCGGTTATGTGGTGATCCACTTAAATGTCATGACTTACCATTGAAATTGCCGGTTCAGTTATGGTTGTAAGTCAAGGACTACCTCTACAGTATTTCTCCCTCTCATCCATACAAGTAATATGATGATGAAGCCCTAGACTTTACGGCCAGATTAAATAAACAATTTCCCCTAGCTACAGTAGTATCCACTAGAGCAGGGGTGTCAAACTCGCGATGTCACATGACATGTCGCGATGTATCGTGACTTTTTTCCCATTGCCGGCAATGGGGTAGGCGCAGTTTTATCGTGACGCATCCGGCCTGTGGACCGGCAGTTTGACACCCCTGCACTAGAGCAGGGGTCTCCAACCTTGGCAAGTTTAAGACTTGTGGACTTCAATTCCCAGAATTCCTCAGCCACCCAAGGAATTTTGGGAATTGAAGTCCACAAGTCTTAAGGTTGCCAAGGTTGGGGACCTCTACACTAGAGGCTTCCTAACAAATGTGTAATTACTGATCTTCTATCTAAACTCTGTAATCTTGTTCTAATATTGTCATCTATTTTTCAATATTTATACAAAGGCCAATCTAACTTCATATTTTTGCATGTGAAAGGACTGAGGCAGGGCACAGAAAGTTCAGAACAATTTAACATTTAATCTGAATATATTGGGAAAGGAATAATAGAGTGGGTTTTCTGGAAAAAGAATCACTATTCAAAGCTACTGTTCCTACAGACATTATAAACATCACTTTTCAAACCCCATTTGACAAAGTTCATCCCCAAAGCTGCCCGAGAGAACAGGAGCTAAACTCTGTCATGCTCTGCAAAATGCATGAGAAAAAAAATCAAAGCAGTCAATGAAAATAAATGTACCCAGTTTTGTACAGGTGTCCCATGGACCAGTATTATTTAATTAGTGTGTATATGGCCAGGAATTAGAGGTGACAAAAGTGAAGCGGATTAATTCATGGACATAGGTACAAATAATAACTGAGCTGAATTATGCCCAGATGACCACTTGATGGCACAAAGCAGCTAAAGTTTTTTTTTTGTATATCATTACTGCCACCTAGTGGTTGGAAAAGGCAAATGTATACAGTATTTAGGATTGGGGGGGGAAAGCAACTAGTGCTAACAGCTGTGCTATATTCTGAATCAACCTTCTTCAAGGAACCATAACACACATCTATAATTGTGTATTCTCCAAATATATCTGGAAAGTCATAACAGTTGAATTTAGTATGGCATCAATCAGTGTTTCTTAACCTTCCAACTTGAACAACTGTGAACTTCAACTCCCAAAATCCTCCAGCTGGCTGAGAAATTTTGGGAGTTGAAGTCCACACATTTTCAAGTTGCCAAGGTTGGGAAACCCTGCCACAAGTAGACAGTATCATTGCTCATGATAACTGAGTTTGTTGGGAAAAACATCTCAACAGCTGTGATGTCATAGTTGGTATCCTATGCTAGACTAGTCTAGGATGTACAAATAGTCATAATCAAGCCCCAAATTTCTGTTGCTGAGACATTTGTTAAATGAATTTTGCCCCATTTTACAACCACAGTTGTTAAGTGAATCACTGAGTTAAGTTAGTACATGGTTGCTAAGTAAATCTGTCTTCCCCATTTACTGCTTATTAGAAGGTCGCAAAAAGTGATCACGTGACCCTGGGACACTGTAACCATCATGAGTCAGCTGCCAAGGAGCCAAATTTTAATCACATGACCAAGGAGATGCTGCAATGGTCTTAAGTGTGAAAAACACTCATATGAACTCTTGTAAGCTAAGGACTACCTGTTATTAATAAACCATGTTTTATAGCATTCTGTATAATACAGTTCAGGTCAAATGTGATTATTCAGCAAATTTATAGCTAACAAACCATTTTTTTAGAATCCTGCATAAATCCAGTGGAATACTAGAAGTCTCAGCACCTGTGTTTGCATGGTGCACTGAAATAAACTTAGCCAATCACCATTTCGCCTACAGTAAGGGTTCAGCTTTTGCAATTCAGTGTTTTGAGAGAGAGGAAGAAAAGGGATTGAGTAAAACGCAGCTAACCACAATAAATAGAACGTCCTCGCTCAACATAGCCAGCCTGAGTAGAAGACAAGCCATCCCCAGAGAAATCCAGACTGAGCTATCCACCGTGCAAAGGAGCACACCATAGCCACTCTATTGTACGTGCGGGAACTCACAGAGCTTCACACCACTACCGGAAGTGTCAGTTGTGCGTCACCTTTCTCTTTCCCTATCTCCGGGAAAGCTGATACATTGTGCTCTCCAGAACGTTTTATCTTGTGGCAACGAGCGGCTTTTGCGCAGGGAGAGGGGCAGCCTCCATCCTCTGCGCCCCCCCCCGTTCCCCTCCCCAGACAAGGCTTTCTGAAGTGCAATTGCAGGTCTTTGCTTTTTCACGCTTACCGCAAATGCACAGCAGAGTTTTCTTCCGCCCTCGGCAGCTGGAGCGTGGCGCACCTGCGACCGCCGCGCTCTTGGCTCGCCTCCCCCAGCCATGGGGAAGGACGGGAGCAGCTGGGCCTCCGTTTAAATCCTCTAGCCAGACCGAGGGGGGTGGGGAATTGGAAAGCTCTCCCGACGAGTCGGACGGAGAACAGCCCCGAAGCCGGGACCAATCATCAGCGCTGAAGCCGCGGCCTGGGAAGCGAAGCGAAGCCAGGCAGAACGAGCGCCCTCTCTCGTGGGCCACCGTGGGCCTCTGCGCGGTTCCGCGAGGGGATTTAAAAGCAAAGCTCGCCCTTAACCTCCAAATGGGGAGTCGCTTTACTGAACTTCTGCCTTGACAGATCACCAGCGGTTCGTTTGGCATTCCACTGGGAGACCACGAGGATGACCATGGTCGGTGGGGAGGGGCGGGAGAGCATATTTGAAGAAAATAACAACAAACAACCCCCCCCTTTTTTTTTTTTTTAATCTCTGCCAAGGCAATAAGGATGTGCTTAAGAAGTGACCAGGAGCTGAGCTCGATTTGGTGGTTTTTCCCCTTTTACGGTATAGTTACAACAAAACTTTCTGCCAGTAAATTTAGGCACTTGAGGAGATCGGTTTCACTTCCAGGACAAGATAAACAGAAGAACGATTCAGTGAAGCAGTCCTGTCTCCGTGGGCTTACTTCCCCTTTCCAGAGGGCAGCCAATAGTCTGTAAATACAGAGCGTGCTTAATTATCAGAATAAGAGACTTGGAGGTCTTCTAGTCCAAACCCCTGCTCCAACAGAAAACCCTACTATTCTAGACCAGTGTTTCCCAAACTTGACAATTTTAAGGCATGAGGACTTCAACTCCCAGAATTCCACAGCCAGCAACGCTGGCTGTGGAATTCTGGGAGTTGAAGTCCACATGCCTTAAAATTGTCAAGTTTGGGAAACACTGGTCTAGACAATCGGTTGTCCAATCTCTTCTTTGAAATCTCCAGTGATGAAGCACCCGCAAATTCTGAAGGCAAGCCTTTCCACTTGTTAATCATTCTCAGTATTGGGAAATTTCTCCTTAGTTTTAGGTTGATTTTCTCCTTGATTATTAGTGTCCATTGCTTCTTGTCCTGCCTTCAGGTGCTTTGGAGAATAGTTTGACCCTCACCTTCCTTGTGGCAGCCCCTCAAATATGGAATACTTCTGCCTATGTCACCCTTAGCCCTTTTCACTAGATTTCTTGAGTGGGAGGGTGTTTATTCTCCCCCCCACAAAGACCTGCAGAGTTCCTGAAGAATGCAATTCATTCCCTCCTAGTTAATAGTTCCATTTCTGGGTTAACTATTAGCAGTTGCAGTGATGAACTTTGCAAGGTGGTGCAAATTTGATGCTTTTTTTTTCTCACTCATTTTGGCCATGTCATGCAGGGGAATTCACTGGAAAAAGCAATTATGTTTGGAAGAGTTAGTCCATCAAAGAACACGATGGCTGGACACCATCAAAACTAGCACTAACCAGAGCATAGAGCAACTCAAAGAAACAGTGCAAAATCAGAAGATATGCAGAGAACTGGCCCATAGAATTGCCGAGAGTCAGATATGACTGAACGGATAACCATCACCACCTCCCCATCATAAAAAAAAAATGTGTATCTCTGTAGCCAATATCAGGGGAAATTATTCTACACTAACCATAGTCACATCTCATGATATATAAATCAAACCAACCAACAAACAAACAAATATTAGCTAAGCAGTCCAGACTGTGCTCTTGTTCCAGCCTGAACAAACATCTGCCATTTCTTTAGCTTTGCTGAAATACTTGGTCCTCTGCTGTTACTAAGGAGAAGGACCCTTCCATCAATTCAATTGGAAAAAGTTTGTTGGTTTCCTTTTCTTCCTTATCTCTTCTCAGTTCAGAGTTCAATTCTTTAACTATATACAGTAATTCGGTTGCTGAAGTCTTGCCCTCTTCCCTCCCTATCCTTTTTCCTTTGCGTTCTCAGATCATAAGCAAAGTATCTTTTTTCATGTAGTACAGGTGTGACTTTAGAAGCAGTTGCAGCTAAAGGCGAAAGTAAAAATTACAGACAGTCCTCAACTTATGACCATTTGTTTATTGACCATGTAGTGTTACATTGGCATGTAACTAATTAAGACTGTTGTGGCATCCCCACAATCTCATGATCAAAATTCCAGTGTTTGGTAATCAGCATGTATTTACAGGACTTTCAACATTCTGACAAAGTAATTGGGAGAAGCTAATTCGTTTAATGACTGCATGATTCACTTAACAACTGCAGTGATTTACTTAACCAGAGCAAAAAAGATCATAAAATTGGGCACAACTCATTAAACAACTGCCTTGCTTAGCAGTAGAAATTTTCCCAGTTGTGGTCATATGTTGAGGATTACCTGTAAGCAATTTTGCATAAAAGATAAAGTCTCCTGGGGCTCAAATTTCATGGATTCATGCATGTAGTTTTCAAGGGAAAAACATAAGTGATTTGGTACTTGCTCCTCCCACGAAGCTGTTTTGACTTCCATGCCGGCCAACAGCCCTGCAATTTCTTGACAAGTGTTACACTTAAGTAATCTGGTCCTGCTTGGTCTCTGAGCCCAGACAAGTCAGCCAGATGCCGCATACTTAGCCTTTAATTTGAGCGGCTCTAATAGGATAATATTGAACAGGCTGGAACATCCCAACTGTCAACAACTGCATTACCAGGGCAAAAATAATCATATTCTATGAGATGATCATGTCCATTTTCCTGATACATTGATAAAACTACCAGGTACTAGCTTTATTGCATTTCTTCCCTTTTCCCTTTGTTTATTAAGATATTGAAGTATGAAGAAAAAAGCAAATATTGAAATAAAGTTTTAAAAAGATGAAGCAACAAGGACCATTACATTTGAATTATTAAAAAGTCATAGTAAAAAAGAGTAAATTACTTTTTTCTGATAAATCTTCTCCTTCACTTCCATTTGTATATCTCCAACCACTAGCCAGTTTAGCTATTTAAACTTCACACCAAACTTTAATAAGCGTGTTAGTTTCTATCTGAATCGTAAAAAAATATAATCCAAATGTCTGTATCTGCATTGCTATGTGGTAGATAGTATATATGCGAACTTGATTATCCCTCTGTTCAAGTCTCCATTAGTTTTTGCTAATGCTAGCAAAAAATCCTATTTTTGCTCCATAAGGTCTCACTCACATGTTCCTAGTCAGATTCACGCAGCCCTTCTCCTAGGTAATGAAAGAATGTGTAAGAAGAGTTATGAAAGCCACCTTAAAATTCCTCACAGTACAAATGTTTGTATAACATCATTCATATGTTTGGCCAAAATGAGAGGGGCCAAGGTGTTTATATTCATGCATAATTGCAAACAGCTAAAGATTCTATTGTTCATCTTCTATTCTGTGCTCCTCACTTCTACATAATAGATTTAGTATGATCTGTTTAACAGCAATGAGTTGAGAAAAGCGTAAAACCCACAAATAGATTTGGCATTTTGTACTTCCTTCTTTCATCTATCTGTAGCTAAGCCTAAAGCTGTTGTTTTAAGGAAGACTGAATTCAGAGCTTTGTGTGATTTGTGATGAGCAACATGTAGTTAGTAAAGCTGGTTCTCAGAAATTAGCATTGGAAGCCGCTGTATGCCAAAACCTATGTCATTTTAACCTAAGAGATCTTCTGCACTGGACTGAGGGATCCTTGCTGACTTCTGAGGGACCTAATGGTTCCAGGGGTAGGCAACCTTGGCTCTTTTATGACTCGTGGACTTCAACTCCCAGAATTCCTGAGCCAGCATGGCTCAGCTTGGAAACCTCTCCCTTTCCCCTCAGCATAGCTGGCTCAGGAATTCTGGGAGTTGAAGTCCATGAGTCATAAAAGAGCCAAGGTTGCCTACCCCTGACCTAACCAATGCAAAATATTTTCTACACACACCCTCTGCCCAGAGGATTAATCATGCTTGATTGCTGACTTGAGATTTTTTAAGACTCGTCATCATCAGGTTTGTATTCATTTTCATCGTGACGCATCCACTACATGAGGTTACTGGCATTTTACCGACTTGAAAAATAATGTTTCTTCCTTGGAGAAAAGCACTAGAGGCATTCAAATCAACTAGATGCTAAGAATACAAATATTTCTTGACTTGCGATCACAATTGAACCCAAATTTCTGTTGCTAAGTGAGACATTTGTTGAGTTTTGCCCCATTTTACAACATTCTTGCCACAGTCGTTAAGTGAATCACTGCAGTTATTAAGTTAGTAACATGGTTGTTAAGTGAATGTGGCTTCCCCATTGACTTTGCTGCTCAGAAGGTTGCAAAAGGGACACTGCAACCGTCATAAATATGAGTCAGTTGCCAAGCGTCTGAATTTTGATCACGTGATCATGGAGAAGCTGCAATGGTCATAAGTATGAAAAATGGTTGTAAATCACCTTTTCACTGTCGTTGTAACTTTGAATGGTCAGTAAATGAACTGTTTTAAGTTGAGGACTACCTGTACTACAAATATATTCTATATTTTATAGAAATATATTTTTATTTATGATTTTTTATTTATGAAATAAAAATATACTAAGTACTCAGTAGTATACAATGCTCTGTTTTGTTTTGTTTCTGAGTAGGGCATGACATGAGTTGATTTTGCCAAGGATCCTTTTTCTCTTCCTTGTAATGTTGTTTGTCTGAAGTGAAGATTGTAATTGGCCATGGAAGTCATGAGGCTGTGGTTATTCCTACATTTCTAAATCAAGGATTATATTCTGATCACAAGAAAATGAAGGCTGGAGCAAATGGCTCAAACCCAAGTTAGAAATTGTTAAGAATCAGTGAATTGCAGCTCTAAGGAAGCAATAAAAGAACAGTTGCCTTTGGCCTCCTGGAAAAGGACAACAGAGGAAAAGAACATGGTCATCAAATACAGATACATCAATGAAATCTTTTATTAAATTTTATTGACACAAAGTAGTTCTTGGATACACGATAAGAATATAAATCCAGTTTCCATTTTACCAATTAACATGGGCATTGCTGTACAAAGATGTTAGAAACATAGTTCTTTAAGATGGGCAGCATCAGAACAAGGTATCTAAGTGCCTCTACCTGTGCCAGTTCTGTCATGCTTGTACCAAAAAGCTGTGTGCGTATTTGACACACAAAGCCCTGAACCTACCAGAAGTGGTTCTTGGTATTCAAGAGTAAGAGATGGCTATGACTCCCCTTGATAGGACAACGTTCAAGATGAGACTACAAAGTGTCACTATGAGAGAATTACAAGGAGTTCTAGCTACAAGACTGAAAAACTAGGTGGGAAGGTTGATAAACAGGCTAAATTAATTGTATCTGGAGTAGGAACCCATATCCCAGCCACCGCTGCTCATGGCACTACGATATTCAAGAGTGTGCAAAGCTAGGATGTTTGGGATGAATAGTGATTCTTGTTGCACAGTTGCAATCCAGCATATACATTTTGATGATGGATAAGAAATTTGCAAGAACACATTTGTAAAAAGTTGAAAAGCCTAATGTTCATCCTAACTTTAAAGTTAGAAAAAAAATGGGATTTTATAGTCTGGTCTTAAGCATGGTTATTTGGTAGTGAATCACACTGAATCCAAAGACACTTCCTACTCATGAGCACAGAAAATTGTGCTGATACAGTGCTGGTCTTTACTTGTTTATGATGCCATTTTGTCAGCTGAAAATAAGCATCAGTATGAACCTATTATGAAAGTTAAAAATAGAGACTGAAAGGAACCTTGATTAAAAATTAAGAAGCCAGCAGGAATATGAAGCTAGATTCCTACGGTTGAACCCAATATGTCCAAGGTAGATAGTGTGTGATGGACATAATATAATTCTAGGGAGGAATGGCAATGACAAAGATTGCAAAGGCTCGTGCCCTTAGTACCACACTAAAAAAGAATAAGAGAAAGCATGTAACTTTCAGTTTATGGACATGGAATGATTCCTCAGAGTTAGGGTGGACTGCATGAATCAACCAGTACTAGACCAAGTGAAGATTGATGTTGCCTTGAGACAATGCATCAACAAGCAGAAACTTGGGATTTGTGAGGCACATAGATGATAGACTAGAAAAAATGATGTTTGGCAAATTTGACCAAAGTAGAGATGGCAGGTAAGTAAAATCCAAATATTGCCTAAATATCTTTGGAAGACCTATGAGTTATTTTTAAAAGTAGGTTAATGGTGAGCATTTGTCCATAGAGCAGTGGTGGCTAACCTATGGCACGCGTGCCAGAGGCAGCACTCGGAGCCCTCTCTGTGGGCACGTGCGCCGTCGCCCCAGCCCCACCTCTCCCTCACCAGCAGCTGCCCTGGAGGAGAGTTGCCCCCAGGTGTGGCCTGCATGGAGCAGCAGCCAAGGACATAGCCAGACAGCAGGGAAAGACTCCGCCCTCATGCCTCATAGCGTGCAGATGATGCTGCGGGGTGTGGGCAGAGGGCGTGGCTGCCATGGCGCTGCAGGGCTGCCAGGGCGATCTGTGGTGGGCCATGGAGGCGGTGCGTGATCCTGCGGGTGGGCGGGGCAGGAGGCGGGCAAGGGTGGAGCAGGCAGGATGGGAGGCAGAGGGGGGGCAGGGGGTGGGTTTTGGGCACGGTCTCTAAAAGGTTCGCCATCACTGCCATAGAGTCAGTGAATAAGACTCAGAGGCAACTAATTCACACACACACACACACACTGCTAGAAAGAAGTTCCCTGAGGATAGGGCCCAGCATGAGTCTGAAAGCTCAGAAGACAAAACCCTCTGGTCCCAGTGATCAACCTAGACTGGATTCTGCAACATTATCCTGGGATGTGTATGTTTGTCTTCATTCATGCAACCAATTAAATTCAGTCTAGTTCAATAAAGGTCACCTGCATATAATTAGGTGCATTTAGTTTTCCTTTTTCTGGGATTTGTTTTAGTCACTAGCAGGTTTGTAATGATAATGTTTCCACAGACTAATATTCATGTTTTGAATTACAGTGTTGTACCCAAATAAGAAATAAATACACAGAACTTAAATAACAATCTAGATTTTACAGAATACACACAACTGTCTTGATTTAACATAATATAGAAACTCATAAGTCTTAGATTAGATCAGGGGTGTCAAACTCGTAACGTTACGTGACGTGTTGCGACATATCGCAACTTTTTCCCCATTGCCAGAGCTGCGGTGGGCATGGTTTCGGCATGACGCATCCAGCCCGTGGGCCAGCAGTTTGACACCCCTGGCTTAGATGAACCATTGTTTAAATATAGACTCTGGGCCTTCAATATCAACAGCTTTTCTGACATCTTTTGGTCACCTAATGAAAACTTTTGGAGAAAATATAGAATTAGTTATAGACTGATTGCAAGTCCAACAGCCTAAATGAATATTGTATGTTGAATGGCAGATAAGCAGTGGCAGATATGCTTATATGAAGTGTACATATGATATATTTTACAACAAAATGGTACCCATTTCCAAGTAGTGTGTAAGTCTGAAAACTAAACCTATCTAATTTTTTTCATACTATTTCATGACCTTTAAGGTGGAATAGATATTGTTCCAGTATGAAAACTGTATTATGGCTGGTTCAACAATTGCTTTTTATACTTGAAAGTAATTTCCATCAAACTCAGCATATATATTGTCTTCATAAAAAAGTCCACAAAGCTTTGTTTGTTCCTCTTCTTGGCAAGAGACCTTGAATTGCAACTTTATCTAATCTAAATTATACCACAATGTCCCATATTCTATGTTCATGCGGCCTTGTCTATTAAAATTGCTCTGGACGTATCTCAAGAGCAAGTTGGAGATACCAATATTACAGGCAGTTCTCAATTTACAACAGTTCATTTATTGACCATTTGAAGTTACAACAGCACTGTCAGAATCCAATTATATTTCATCTCTAGTTATCAACTGTGGAAAATCCCATTTCTGCCCTCTCTGGATTCTGTCATACAATGAAGGGAAGGGGGTGAACAAAGGGGTTTTATGGCCCTCACTTCCTTCAGTACAACTTCAAAGGGACTGGATGTGGATATCACCAAAAGGACTAAACATAACAATGTTTAGCTTTCATCTACTCCTCTCTGAAGTCTCCCTTCCACCGGCAGTGAGGAAAAAGGGGGTGGAAATATAACGCGCCTGGGATTGTCGCTGGAAAGATGGTGGGTTGGGGTGGGGCTGCTGGGGACCCCTTCAAACCTTGAACGTAGGGCTTGGGCCCCAGGTCCTGTCTAAAACGCCTGCAACCATTTTCTCTTAATATAGATGCCTGTTGGAAGAAATATTCCAAGAGTTCTGTCTTCTTAAAATGCAAAGTGGAGTGGGTCCTTACAAGCACTGAAAAAAGTGACCTATGACTATTTTTCACCCTTATGATCATTGCAGTGGTCATGTGAGTTACATTTGCATGCTTGACAACTCACATTTATGATGGTTGCACTGTCCCAGAGACATATGATCCCCTTTTGCGACCTTCTGACAAGCAAAGTCAAGTTAACAACTGTGTTACTAATTTAAGAATTGCAGTGATTCACTTAAATGTGACGAGAAAAGTCATAAAATGGGGCAAAACTCACTTAAACAGATTTCTCACTTAGCAATTTTAGGCTGAAAATTATGGTCGTTAAGTTGAGGACTACCTGTATTACTCCCAAATAACTATGAGGATGCGGCCAATCTTTGGTGAAAGAGAAAGGGGTGTATATAATTCTTTAAGGCTGAGGAAATAGGGGGGAAACGTCAAAGGGGTTTATCCAAAATGCCCGCTCTGGCTCATAAGCATTCCCGCCTCCCTGCTAGACCCCCCGGCCGTAACGCAGCCACCGCTACCCCGGACAGACGGAGCCGAGCAGGCCTCTCGCTCCCGCTCTTCAGACCCAAACACGTTCCGCTTTAGCCCAGCAGAGAAGGCGGCCACGTGCCCCGCCGGCGGGTGGGTGTCTCCGCCGCGTCCCCGCCTCCTGACTCGGCCTTGCCCCGCCTGGGCCGCCTTTCTCCGCCTTGCGAGCCCCTCGTTTCCTGCTGCTGGCGGAGGCCGAGGGAGAAGGTGGCGGTGGAGGCGGTGACGGAAAGAAAAGTGCCCCGGAGCCGGAGAAGCGGTCGCCTCCAGCCCCGCTCGTCCCCGAAGGAAACCAGCGTCGCCGCCGCCGCCCCTTCTTCCTCCTGCGCCCCGCTGCCTCCCAGCTCTCCGGCTTCCTTTTTTTTTCTTCCGTTCGCCCCCACCCAAGTTTCCCCTCTGCAGCTCCTGGACTCCCTGCCTCCCACCCACTCGCCCACCCAGGACAATAGAGCGGGAGATGTCCTCCTCCGGTGGCCACCAGCAAAGCCAGAGCCGCGCCATCCCCACCAGGACGGTGCCCATCAGCGACTCCTCGCAGCTACCTCATGACTATTGCACCACGCCCGGGGGGACCCTCTTCTCCACCACGCCCGGAGGTATTTAAAAAAAAAAAGAAAAGAAAAAGGGCCTCGCGCTCCCCATGGGTGGGTGGGTGGATGGGTGAGGTTAGGGGACCCGGGCAAGGACGCGCGCCAGGCAGGCCCACCGGAGCGGGAAGGGGGCGTGCGCCGGCCTGGCTGGAGCTCTTGATCTCAGGCGCCCTAAAAGGGTGTGCGGACGCCTGGGAGGAGTGGCGGGGGGACCCCCTAATCCTCGTCCCCTGTCCTAAGAGGGCGCCCCCACGGAAGCGTCCTCGGAGGGCTTGGGGGGGGGGAAGAGTCCGAGGTTGCCCTCCGGAAATGCGACGGCTGCTGCTGCGCCTCGTGAGCGCTGCCTTCCAGCCGGAGCTTCGCGGGGAAAGACGCCTTTCCCTCCGGCGGCGGTAGCCGCCGCAAGGGGGACCCGTTTGGCCTGCTGGCGGGCTGAGCCCAGGAAGAAGGGAGGCCTCGGCTACAATGCCTCGGGGAGCCGGGTCTGTAGGAGGGAAAGCGGGCTGGATCCCGATCGTCGCCTAGGCCTCGCCTCTCTGGTTGGGGCTGGCGGCGAGGTATTTGTAAACAAGGCCCCGGAGCCTCAAGACGCCGCGGCTGTTACACAATAAGAAGGGAGGAGCGGGAGGGAGGGACCGTGGCCGCGGGCGAGGGAAGGCGATGAACGGGAGCTCCCTCGAGGAGAGGCCTGCTTTCCCTTCCGCGCCACCGTGCCCCAAACAACCGGGCTCCCGCGTGGAAATGGCTGGCGTGCCTTAGGTTGTTTTCCAGCTGCCCTTGGGGACTTCAATATAATAATAATAGTAATAGTAGTAATAATAATGTAAGCCGAGAGTCACCACGTGCTTCTGGTTTCCCTGTGGGAACGCTTTTGTACTTTTATCCAAATCGCGTTACTGTTATAATAAGCCTTCGTGGTTTGGTTGCCCAAAAACCGGGTCCGTTGCATTATCTGGGATTTCGATGAGGCGTGGTGAATGCACCTTACGGGGAGTTTGTACGGTTGAATCACCCAAGTCGGATTAATTCAGAATCCAGCCTGGTATTTGTGGTCTTTTTATGCCTTGGACGTGCATTGAACCAGAGCACGAGATAGAGAGCTAAGCAGGATCCCTCAGCTAATGATTAGCCTGTTCCCCAGACGTGGAGCAAGCTGGTTTGGAGACAGTAGAAGTGAAGGGAGGTGATGTGTGCCCGTGTGTAGCTAAATAGTAGAGCGAATTTTCTTTACAAATGGTAATGTAATGTAGGCTGTTCTCCGCTGTTTATTTCTGTTACATAAAGCCACTCTGGGTTTGAAACTTGGCTGCTTATATGTGACAATTTTTTTCTTAGGTCTAAACATATTAACTTGCTCAGAAGCTTTAACAGCTTTGTCCAACTTTGCCCCCACTACTGAAAACACTGGATTAACTAATATGAATTAATTCCAGAGGAAAAAGTATATATGACAGTAATATATTCTAAGAAACATTCTTATGGTACTTTAAAAGCTAAAATTAATATGACATCCAGCTTTCATTAACTAGACCACTTAAGGGTTGTGTTGTGATTAGACTTGTCCTCTTATCATTTGGTTCTGGAATGTCACAAGTCTCTTTCTCCCCTCTATCCTACAGGTTGCCTTGATTTTCATATGTGCAACTGTGTATTTTTTTTTTTATCCTGCTGAGTTCTAGTAAACTTCAAAGTTAACAGCTGAATTTTATTTTTGTGGCCACTGTTTAGATAGCTAACAAACTGATTTTGCTTTGTAAACTTGTTTTAAAAGTTGATGAGTACCAAGTTCCTTCTTCTTTGGCCTTTTGTTTACTTTGAATTATATTTCCATATTTCAAATTATTGAAACTTATTGGTAATGGGGGGGGGAGTAAGATTTGCTGATTTGACAATGACATGGTTCCTTCTGCATGCCCAAAATTATTAAGGTTACATTTCAAGTTAATAGCTGTCATGCCAGATAGCAGTATAAATTTGGAAGTTTATATACTTTCTAGAATGTCATTTCTTTACCCAGAACTTGCTTTGAATGGGGAAGTGCACAGCACTGTGAATCATGATGCATGTGATAACAGGTGCTTTTTATTAAAAGGTACAAAGTTAGTCAAGATTAGATATAAAATAGGTCTGCAGATATGTGAGTCAAAGTTAGACTTCTGCTTGAAGAATTCAGGGCTGAAATCCACACACCTAGAAGGAACTCAAGTTGGGAAAATTAGACATAGCAGACTTGTTTAAAATAATTGGCATTAACAATCGATAAGGAGAACTGAAACTTGACAGTTTCTGCCAGAATATAACATTTTAACTATTATGGTTGTATTTATTCATTAAATATTAAATACATTATGAGATTCACATTAGATGGTAAACATACCATGATATAGAAAACACAATCTTTAAATTCCAGTAACTTGATAACCCACAAACAAGCAAATCACGTCATGGTTTAATATCCAGAAGACATTTTGAAATTGATGGATTGATATTTATATTTATATTCTCTCTTCTCTTTTTTTCTGTTGTGAAATGATTGCTGCATGATACAATAAAGGTTTTTTTTCTCCATTATATGGTTTTTGTTGTGAGCAGCTGAGAATCTGGGATGATTTGGTAGCATCCAAGTCAAATGTAAATGTTGTGCAAACCCAGTCAACACTTAATGTTGTGTTCTATCTTATATATGTAGCCCTCCACTTATGACTGGTCACTTAGTAACAGTTTGAAGTTACAACGGATCTCCCTCAAAACGTATTTACAACACGTTCCAACAGCCACCCGTCCCATATTTTGGGAGTTTGGCAACCAGACTGAATTTATAGCCATTTGCACCTTCTGCAATCTCATGTGAGACTGCAATTTAACATTCTTTTGCTGAAAACCAGTGTTTACTCCCCATAACATTGGATTCACTTAATGATTACCACCAGAAGGTCATAAAATCAGGTTGCTGACATGATGACCTGCTTTATGATTGTCATGACATAAAACCATATTTTCAAGGCTCAATGATGGTTGTAAGTTGAGGACTACTTGTAGAGTACAATAAGCAAAGTTGAAAAACATTAGTTCCCCCCCCTCCCCGCGCTGCTGCTCCTGGGATGCAAAAGAGTGGAGGCATGTCCATAATTTAAAAATTCAGATTCCTATTGATTACAATGAAAGAGGTAATCAAGTATACTCTGCTGGAATCTGCAAGGCTTAAAGAATCCTAATGCTTGAATTAGATTAATTTTACCATATCCTGCTCTGCAATACAGATATATTTTAACGATAATGTGAATGCAGGGCTGATACAGTCAAATTGATATTCTGTTCATAATCTTGACATTAATCCCATTTCCTTTATGAAGCAACTTACAGACTCTCTATTAATTTAAAACTTTTGCAGGATATGCTTGTTTTTAAGTAGAAGGTTGTTAAAGGTCATTGGAACTTGCATAGCTGAAATTCCATTTCTTTAGTTTTAGTTATTGCATTTTTTCCAGGCATCTGAATCTGATATTTCTCTATACTAATAAATACAGTAATTCAGTGTAAGCTTGATGCATTGAAAGCTTTGGTTATCCAAAAGTGTGAAAACTCCTTTTCCCCCCTAAATTAGGATATATTCTGTGAAGGCAAGGAAACCCTAGCAATGCAGCATTAAACATAAATATGGCAAAAGAGGAAATACAGATATTTAAGGAAGTAATTGCAAAGAAAATTATAAAGCTGCACTTTATTAATATAAATTTCCTTATTAATATTTTATGATTCTGTTCATTCCATTATTTTAAATATGCAAAAAATTATAATTTATAATTTAAATCTACCAGTGTAAATGGTTGGTTGGTTGGTTGGTTGGTTTTTCAAGGCAAAGTAGTATCTAATTATCCCATCCTTACAAAATCTTACGTATTTCCTATAATGAAAAAGCATCAAATTCTAGTCCACTTTTGCCTCAGGAAGCTCCCTGGATGATTCTGGATCATTCATCAGTTCTTAGCCCAGCCTATGTCATAGAGTTGTTGTAGGGAAAAATAGGAGGAAGTGCTATGATTGCCACCATAAGCTCCTGCATGAAAGATGGGGTATAAGTTAAACAAGAAAGAAAATAATTTTGAAAACATTGAAGGATATTTATATGTGTACATATGTAACAGAGAACTGTGTTGTAACCAAAGAAATGTTAACCGCCTGTTTCAGATTCTAGATCAAAATAGTAAGGATCAGAAATGGAAGAGTACTGAAGGTGGCTATATCTGTGTAAAAAAGGATTTTGGAAGAACACCAACTTGTTGGTTGAGGAGTGCTAGCAGCCAGAAGAAACTTCGGAAGGCAAAACACACTTTTTCCTCACTTTTACAAAAGTGCTTTTGTTAGACACATTCCTTTCTCGCTCTAATTTTGTGATGTTTCGTTTGAAAGCACTGAGTGTGCCTCACTACTTGCCATGGATGCTGGAACCCAGCCCAGGTCAGCAAAACAAAAATTACACCAGGGCCTAGAGAAAAAGTAATGAGCATCTCTGAGTACTATCACTTTTGCTCTGCAAAGCAATATTTCACCAGGCTTTGATGAGTTCCATTGGCTGAATATGTTTTCATGGCCAAAGTTAAAACTCTTTCCTTGAGAGAGTTCCCTGCTGACTTGAAATTAAACACGATTACATAAGTAAGTTTTCCATGGACTTTTTGGATTCTGCTTTAAGGCAACTGCAGTTGCATGAGTTAATGGTTGTTTTAAATGCAGACATTATAAGGATACTGCTGGTTGGTCTTCAGTTCATGATGAGTGGAAATAATTATCGCTCACTTTTTTTTTGTTGTTATTGTGTCTTCAAAATAACACTTGGAAAGGGGAAGTCAATATTCAGAGATTTCTTAGTAGAGCTTTTGGTTGAAGCTACCTGTGAACATCAAGGGCCAGAATTTGATGTTCAGGCACAGAAGTAGACATATGAAAATTAAAGAGCGGTAATAGTGAGAGGTAAACTGAAGTATCATGATTTTTCCTTTATTGTG